CTGGTGGGTTTGAATCCAGCCCGGGTCCACCAAACAACAATGATGGCTGCAACCAAAAAATAGTCAGGCATTGTGGTGGGTGCCTGTAGTCCCAGCTACTTGGGAGGCGGAGGCAGGAGAATCACTTGAGCCCAGGAGTTGGAGTTTGCTGTGAGCTGTATGCCATGGCACTCTACCCAGGGGGACAGCTTGAGGCTCTGTCTCAAAAAACAAAACAAAATCTATATATACTCTGAAAATTATGGGAAAGGGGTCATTTCTATTAGAATTTTGGGTGTATAAAGATATATATATATAAACCAAATCATTTCTTTACATACCAGTGAAGAGGTTATTTTAGGTAGTGAAATTCACATTTTGCTTTCCACTGCTAAACAAAGGTTGTTCATAGTATGAATGGACTCTCTCTTTCTGAGAACATTGTGATACCCAAAATTGAAAAATATAAAACAAATCCTGATAAAGAGTGGCTGTTTTTTCTCTTTACCTGAATCACTTGGTTCACTAGTTATAAATTACATAGATTTTCATACTTTGTTAAATGGGGGATTAATTTTTTCTCGAATCAAGCATGTAAGAAATACAAAGAAGAAATATCCTAACTTATAAACTAGCATTTAGTGAAACTACAGTAAATGTTTTGGTGTAGTGCCTTCCAGTCTTTTTCACCGATGCTGTTTCTGTCTTGCAGATACCAGCGTCGTGTAGAGTGGGTGGCACAGCTCCTGGGCAGACAGGGGCAGGATGAGAGTACAGTGCACAGAATCATCGAGGATTACACAAAACCACTTGAGCATCCCTGTATAAAAAGAGACGAAGAGGTTCAGTTGCCTGCCGAGCTTACCTCTGAAATGGTTTCCAACGTGGAAGGTACAGCGGGGAGAGAGAAACTTCCTGTGATGAATGGAGACTCTGGGAAGTCAGATGCTGTGGAGGATCTGAGCGAGCCCTCAGACTGCCCGCAGGAGGCCAGTGGGAGAGACGCACCAACTGTGGACAGCTCCCATGACCACCTGGTCCATGACGCTGCACCTCCACCCCACGTCAGCTGCCACACAGAAGCTGCTGTCATCCCCCGGTGTGGCCCTCATCCTGAGGACGGCAGCAAGCAGGCATGTCTCCTCTGTGCAGGAGAGACCGGGCCTGCCCATGAGTACGTGCTTGTGGAGGAAGTGCTGAGTGACAGGAACCAGAGGGAGGATGCCCCAGATGGGACAGTAAGTAGAAAACAAATCATTTCCTCCAGAGCCGTCTGCTCCTGGAGACGCTGGTGAGCAGGGATCCCTCTGCCTGTGGCTGGTGGCTGGTCTGGTGTAAGATCAGAGATTACCAGCAGGCTCTGGGGCCTGGCCCCGTGGCTCAGCAGCTGTGAGGGCCGTTTCAACGAATACCTCAAAATTTACAAATAACTTTAACTTTTGAAAAATGTATAAATTAAAACAAGGCCAATATTATTCTCTCTTTTGAGAGAAAAGGAAATGCACTGGTAATTACAGATGATCTTGAGTACAGCTGGGGGGCCTCACGTGTGGAACTCAGCCATCATGGAAGGAAGCCTGGCAGAACTGATGGACAGGTGCCTCGCGAAGGGCACCCTGTGACAGGCTGGTCCCCTAGAAGTATCTCTAGTCACTAAAACTTAGAAGTAATCTAATAATTAATATGTGAAATACCCCCTTGAAGTATGTAGCTGTAGGGTAAGGCTTATGAAGTCATACTAAGAACACAGCATGTTTTATGAGGCCCGTGCAGTTAGGCAGAAAAAATACCATATAAAATACACCCCCAAAATGGTCTCAACTGCAGGGAAAGTTCATTGGGAAACAGGAAATAAATCAAAATGTTAATGGAAAAGTTAAAGCTTTCTTTTCCACAAAAGTAATTTAAGAAGTCTTTTTTTTTTTTTAAACAGTATTACCCCAACAGCGTGAGAATCTTGGGACTTTTATAAGAAAAATGTTCGTTTTAAAATACAATCTTCTCTGAATGACATAGTGCTTCCATTTGTTCTGATGTGTTTTATTTCTTTCTCTTTAGTTGGTACAAAGAAAGAGATTAATATGCAGAAGAAATCCATATAGGATCTTTGAATATTTGCAGCTCAGCCTAGAAGAGGTATGTTTTCAACACGTCTCTGCCCCAGCTATTGGCCTGTGGGCCTGGGCCACCGCACATGTGAACCTGCCTCGCGGTGTGGTTCTCTGTGTAACTCAGTAATTGAATATGGTAATTCAGTGTTGAAATCACCATGAGCACCTTCCATAGTAGGCCTGCTGAAATTTCACTCCTCACCATTTATTTCATCAAATCAATTCTGAAATACACTCCCTTTATGATTCCACACAGGAATTCAAGGGATTTATCTGAGTATTTTTGTTGTCAAGATTTCAGATTCCCTGAATGTTACGTTAATTTTCACCAGCTTTTAATTCACATACCATATAATTTGTCCATTTAAAGAGTTAAACTCACTGCTTTTGAGTATATTCATGGAGTTTCACCAGCTTTTAATAAGCTGTGATGCATGATTCAGATCACATAGTGACTGCTAATTAAGTAAATAGATTTTATTTCCTCCTGTAGAATCACTAAGAATATATGTTCCTTTTAGTTCAGTGGTTCTCAACCGTTCTCAACCTGTGGGTCGCCACCCCTTTGTAACAAGGAAAATAACATCCTGCACATCAGATATTTACATTACGATTTATAACAGTAGCAAAATCACAGTTATGAAGTAGCATGAAAATGATTTTATGGGGGGGCGCCTGTGGCTCAAAGGCGTAGGGCTCCAGCCCCATTTGCCAGAGGTGGATGGTTCAAACCCTGACCAAAAACTATAAAAAGAAAAAAAGAAAAGAATTTTATGGTTGGGGGTCACCACAATATGAGGAACTGTATTAAAGGGTTGCGGCATTAGGTGGCTGAAATTGTTCTTCCATAAACTGCTTTGTGTTGTCCCAGAGTTGGAGTTTCTTTTTTTTTTTTTTTTTTTTTTTTGAGACAGAGCCTCAAGCTATTCCCCTGGGTAGAGTGCTCTGGCATCACAGCTCACAGCAACCTCCAAATCCTGGACTCAAGCGAGTCTCCTGCCTCAGCCTCCTAAGTAGCTGGGACCACAGGCGCCCGCCACAATGCCTGGCTATTTTTTGGTTGCAGCCATCATTATTGTTTGGTAGGCCCGGGCTGGATTCGAACCCGCCACCTTAGTTGTATGTGGCTGGCGCCTTAGCCACTTGAGCCACAGGCACCAAGCTGAGTTGGAGTTTCTCTAGTCGGTGCTCACTTTGTGCTCAGTCCCTCCCCTCCTGCTCCTGTTAACACTGCGCACAGATAAGCCCTTTCTGCCTCTGAAGGTAGCATCACTTCTTAGGCACCTGCCTTCTCCAGCAGCTCTGATAGTTTTTTCCCAGAGAAGCATCCCGCATGGTTCTTGGTGTCTACAGGTCGCAGAAGTGCCGTGGGGTGCATCTGTGTGGGTAATTTCATGCCTTTGTGCACAGGAAACTAATTGTGTCTCCGTGTTCTCTCTTTCGTAGTCTGTGCTTCTTTCCTTGCAGAGAGACCGGTAGTAAAAAGGCCAGGCTTTCAGAGCAGGAAGGAACTATTTTTCTCTTAATTTTACAAATGAGACAACTTAGTCTGCCAGGAAATACTGTAGCCAGTAGCCATATGTCACTATTTAAATTAAACTAATTAAAATTGAATAAAATTCACAATTTCATTTCTCATTTGTACCAGTCACATTTCAAACACTGAGCAGCCACATGTAGCCAGTGGCTATTGGACAGCGCACATAAGGAGCGTCCCAGAATTCCCAAGGAGCTCTGTCAGACAGTACTGTTGGTCCCCATTCTCTAGGTGTTTGACCTCTCACAGTCTCAGGTTTCTTTTCTTTAAGTGGGGGATACACAACACCCTCTTAGGATGCTCTAGAAATTAAATTATGCATGAAATGAGTTCAACACAGTGCCTGGTTCATAGTAATGTTCAGTAAGGTTGGTGCCTGCTGTTTTTGTCATTATGATTATTACTTGAAAAAGCTCTTAGCACTCTGGGAGGCAAGGGGGTGGATTCCCTGAGCTCACAAGTTCAACGCCAGCTTGAGCCAGAGCCAGACCTCGTCTCCAAAAATATAGCCGGGTCGTGGGTAGGCACTGTGGTCCCAGCTACTCGGGAGGCTGAGGAAAGAGAATTTCTTGAGCCCAAGACTTTGAGGTTGCTGTGAACTGTGACACCACTGGCACTCTACCAAGGGCAACAAAGTGAAACTCTGTCTCAAAAAGAGAAGAAAAAGCTATTTAGTAGCTACTTAAAACTCACTCTCTTTTATAATCACAAAAATATCCACTGGACACTAAACTGTGTGCCAAGCACTGACTACTACCAATACGGAAATAAATAGGCTGACTCCAGTCCTGCAGACAACCCAGAAATCACAACAGTTCAACAGGATGAGCGCAGTGCAGCATGTGGCCCGGGCCAGTATTGCTCCTTTTGTATCCTTGGGCCTGATGCCAGACGTCTGTTAGGTGCTTAATAATCATTTGTTACACAAATGAATGTACAAGGTAGGAGATTTGCAGAGAAGCTGGTGGAGACGTCAGGGCCACAGCTGAGGTGGAAAGAATTTACAGAGTCATGATAGCTGAGAATGTTAAGGGATAAACAGAGTTGCCATGTGGACCCCGGGGCTCCATGGCTCTCCCAGGCAGCTCAGCCTTTGAAAGTGACAGAGGAGGACCAGACATGGAGGGTGCAGCCCCAAGTAGGAGTCTGGCCTGGTCCTGGAGGCAGGAGGAGGATGGGCTGGAGGCCTGGAGCTTGCCAGCTTCTTGACCCTGGCAGGTGGCAGCAGTGGGCAGACAGTATAGGTGTCGGACAACTGGGAGTTCAGCCTCACTGTTTCACTTGACCAGGTGCTATTTTTTATCAACAAATAAAAAAAGCTGCCGCTGTCTGGGTACCTCCTCATAAGACACACTGAAGAAAAAAGCAAGAATAATAGGAAATGAGATTACTCTGCATTCTTGAAACCTGCTTGGTGCCTGAGAATGGTCCAGAGACGTGTCGCAGAAGTTTTCAAGGAATGTGCAGTTGACCCAGCTCTGCTTCTCAGTTCTGTTTTGTCGGATTTCCTTCAAGGGAATCACCGTGTTTGGCACACCGCTTGTACGGCTTACATGTTTCCCTAAGTGTTGGTCAGGAGCAGGCACACCATTAGGGCTGGGATGGGGGGTGGGGGCGGCTGCGGCCACGCGCAGTAGATCTCTCAGGGATTGCGTAGATCCCTGACAAGATCTACTGTGCTCAGGAGCACCTGGTGAATAAACCAGAGTGGCAGTTTGTTAACTTTGATGAAAACCACATCTGTGGTGAGGCCCAGCCACTGCCCTTTCTAGACTGGCACATTCTCTTCATGTAGAAAATTCAAGTGAGGAAAGATATTAAAATTGGAAGACTTCTTGGTGAGCACGCAATCAGCCTGAGAACTGTGTTGAGTACCTCAAATGCTCAGTGATACCAGGCTCCTATAGCCTTTTCCACAAAGGGGAAAAAGCTTTGTCTTGATTCTGAAGATTCTAAGATTTTATTTATTTTTATTTATTTATTTATTTTGAGACAGAGTCTCTGTTGCCCTGGGTAGAGTGCTGTGGTATCATAGTTCACAGCAATCTCAAACTCTTGGGCTCAAGTGATCATCTTGCCTCAGCCTCCCAAGTAGCTGGGACTACAGGTGCCAGCCAGTTAATACCCGGCTATTTTTTTTTTTTTTTTTTTTTTTTTGAGACAGAGCCTCAAGCTGTCCCCCTGGGTAGAGTGCTATGGCATTATAGCTCACAGCAACCTCCAACTCCTGGGCTCAAGCGAGTCTCCTGCCTCTGCCTCCCAAGTAGCTGGGACCACAGGCGCCCGCCACAACGCCCGGCTATTTTTTGGTTGCAGCCGTCATTGTTGTTTGGCAGGTCCGGGCTGGGGATTCGAACCTGCCACCTTAGGTGTACGTGGCTGGCGCCTTAGCCGGTTGAGCTATAGGCGCCGAGCCGTACCCGGCTATTTTTTAGAAATGGGATCTCATTCTTGCTCAGGCTGGTCTAGAACCCCTGAGCTCAAGCAATCTACCCACCTCAGCCTCCCAAAGTGCTAGGATTACGTGTGTGAGCCACCACACCCAGCGCTTAATATTTATTTATTTTTGAGACAGGGTCTCTCTCTGTCTAACTAGTGCAAGTGCAGTTGGTTCATCCTATTTCACTGCAACCTTGAACTCCTGGTTGGGCTCAAGCAGTCCTCCTGCTTTGGCCTCCGAAAGTGCTAGGATTATAGGCGTTAGCTACCAAGCCTGGCCGATTCTCAGACTTTTATGTGTCTACTTTCCATTTCATTGTTGTACTTACTGTAGTAGCATTTCTTTTGCCCTGAAAAGCTGCCATTAAACTGAGAATCTGTCAGACATCTTAGAGTGGAGCAGAGCAGTACGTGCCTCTGGAGCCGCCAGGTGAACCTGTGGGTTCGAGTCCCTTCCCTGTGCAGTGCAGAGACCTCACCAGCTTCACCACCTCCCCATTCACTGTGTTTCCCAACCGTCCGTTCTGACTGGCATGTTCTTTAACTACGTTAACATTAGTAAGTTGCGGATCTGTTGCAGGTGCCTGCTGGTTTCTTGTAACTCCAAGTTTGCGGCTGCCTAAATAGTGTCTCTGTGTAATGCTTATTACATTTAGCTTTTAGAGTAGACGATAAAATTTCTTTAAAAAAGAAACCAGAAAACAAGTCCTCACACAAGAAGAGTAGGATGAGAGGTGCTCGAGAGCTGAGGAGAGTCCCAGGTTGGGGTTACCGTGGTGAGCTGAGTGCCGAGTGGCCATGTGCCAGACAGTGTGCTGGTCTGGGCTCACGTACGCTTCCTCTTAGGCCCCAGACTCATCCCCTGTTATACACTAACCACACCTTTTTCCATGTTTTCCCCCCACCCCTTTTTATTTTTATTATTATTTTTATTTTATTTTTTTGTTGTTGCAGTTTGGCCCGGGCTGGGCTTGAACTCACCACCCTCGGTAGATGGGGCTGACACCCTACACATTGAGCCACAGGATTCCCCCCCCCCCTTTTTTAGA